GCTACAGTTCTTTATATATACTTCAACATAAGAAATGTGAAGAGGAGATATGAATGCTGTGTAATTCTGTGACATAGAATCAAAAATTCATCTAAAATCAGAATTAGTAAAAGCCATATCCATTTCAAAAGTAAGGCCAAATTCAGAATAGTTGGACAAAATATTTTTATCATGGAAAAAAGTAAACTTACGTGAAGCAACATGTATCCTAACACCTGTCAAAAGACAATTATGACATTTAATTATAGCTCAAATTGGCTTTTATTCATGATTCATGAATCAGGGCAGCCTCTGTTCTGCAAATAGAATGAAAACTCCTACTGGGCAATGGCAGAAAGAATAGTAGGTTTGGTAAGGTGGAAACAAGAAAACAGAACAATAGGAGAAAAACTTGATTGGTTAACATAAGTTACTTCTTGGTAAAGGTTAACGGCCAGGAGACTGAGTTATGCTAACTCAAGTAGACTGTACTCATCTGTTTTCAGGAAGAACTAGTCTGTTTGGATCTATTTGCTTATACGGCATTTAACATTAATGACTCTATTTGGTTTGATCTGTTTTGTTAGCTATTTTTGAATCCTGTTGTTTCTTTAAGGCTTCTAAATGCCAATTAAAAAGAGAATCCCATTCTCTCTACCTAATTGGGAGGCTTTGGATTCAAGTACACTTGTTAAATGAATGGTCTTGTTCTGGAACAGTCTTCATATGACCATTATAATTCTAAATTTTCTTTAGTAAGATTTTGCCGCTTGTTAAAGTATATGCAGCTTTCAGGCTTAATACTCGTGCATGTGAAAGTCAGGCATAGGTAGGAGGCTGAGTACTCAGCTCTTCAGAAATAAAGGATCCTGTGTTGACACTGAGTCTTGGGTCTCCCAGAGCCAAGATAAATACCTAAGAAGGAGATGCCACGAGTTTGAGTCCTATAATGCTTTTATGTTGTACCTCATTGCATGGACATTTTCTTGTGGCTGGTGGGCAACTTACTGTTAACTGTCCCATTTCCTGACCAGCTTATCTTCTCATGGTAGTCTTATATTTTAGTGGTGGGTAGCGCATAAGGGCCTCACCCATGTCCACCAGACAGGTTATGGCTTTGGCTCTGACATTCCACTGACCAACCTAGCCAATTATTTTCCAGTTTCTCTCTGACCCAGACACCTGAGGCCTCTCTTACCTGAGTGCACAAGAAAAATGAAGAATACAGAACCTACATAACTGCAAATTTTGAAAACTAGAGTTTATGCCCCCTGCTATAATAAGCACTTAGTTTAACCACTGTCAGTAACCTTTAAAACTGCAGCTCTTGCCAGTGGCTCCTCAGCCACTGCAAATCCAAAAGTCAAGTGCCTTCTCACAGCACAGATTAACCCAAAACCACAGAGATCAGGGAACTCAATGCAAAAGAAAGCACAGCTTCACTCTTCAGGGGAACTTAACCATTTTCAGGGTTTCCTGAGGAAGACAGAGGACTCAAAAGGGGGCTCAGCAGCACCTTTTCTGTGTTCCTGAAGAGGTCTCTGGGTCATGGATCATCAGAAATTTCCTTTATGTCCCTTCATATGGCCGCCAGAACTGTCAAAAGACAAAACTACAACAAATTTAGTTCTAAATCTGATTGGCTTTTATTTGCAATTCTGAATCAGGGCAGCCTCCAATCTACAAAATAGAATAAAAGCTCCTATTGGGTAATGACAGAACTGTGGGTTTTATAAGGTAGAAACAAAGAAACAGAACAATAGGGGAGAAATTAGGTAACATAAGTTTACTTCAGATTACTTTTTTGTAAAAGTTAAAGTAGAGGGGACTTTATTCTTATGATGATTCCTGCTTTGGGGGAAAACTGGTCTGTTTGGGGATTTATTTCCCTATTTGGTCTGTTCTCATTAGGATGTAGTACAAGGAGCTCAGTACAAACAATAGCCTTCCATAATTTTTATTCGGTGCACCCAACCTGGAGAGGTTTTTGGAAATAATCATTACAATTGGACCAATCAATAACAATGCAAAACAAAAACATTTTCTGGGATATTTGTCACAAACAAATATCAAAACTTTGAATAGGTCAAATAATACTTTGTATGCTTTAAATTTTTATTGTTAAGAATGTTATTAACAAATATGTATGGTTATTTTTCACAATTAATGCTTTTTTGAATTTATTTGGTTTTAAGGTGCTCTTTTAATGTTTTCTGTTATCAAATATTTGTATCAAATAAAGAGCAGTTTTACATTTTATTGAAGTTTATAATCTTGTCACAATATATTGATTTATAACCACAATAAACTAAGCATTTATTATTACATCTTTATTAAAACAATTCTTTGAAACTTTGAATAGAACTGTATCACAGAAAAATGATTTTTATTGTTACGATCACTCATTTTTTTCTTTAAATTGTTTTATTGAGATATAATTGATACATCATGCAATTCATCCATTTAAAGTATACAAATCCCTGTTTTCTAATATATTTACAGGGTTTTATAACCACTGTCAGAGTTTAATTTTAGAATAATTTCATCCCCCTCAAAGAAGCCCCGTATCTATTACCAGTAATCCCCATTTTCCTCTAGTACTCCTCCCATAACCCTAAATAACTATCTGTTTAAATTTGCCCATTCAAAATATTTTATGTGAATAGAATCTACAATATGCAGTCTTTTGTGGCTGGCTTATTTGACTTAGAATTTTTTTCAAGGTTCATTCATAGTGTATGTAGCATGTATTAGTACTTCCTTTCATTTATTGCCAAATAATATTTCATTATATGGATATGACACTTTATCCCACTCATCATTTGATGGACATTTGGCTTGTTTCCACTTTTTGGCTGTTATGTATGAATAATGCAGCTGTGAACATTTGTGTGCATATTGTGTGAATATATGCTTTCATTTCTCTTGCTTACCTACCTAGGAGTGGAATTACTGAGCTATGTGTTAAATTCTGTGTTAACTCTTTAGGTAACTGCCAAATTGTATTCTAACGTGGCTGTACCATTTTACATTCCCATCAGCGATATATGAGGATTCTAGTTTCTCTATATCCTCACCAATACTTGTTATTGTCTCTTTTATTATAGCCAGTCTAATGGGTATAAAATCATTTTGATTTGTGCTGCTTCAGTGGCTAATGTTGAGTATCTTTTCATGTGTTTGTTGACTATTTGTGCATCTTTGGAGACGTGCCTATTCAGATTCCTTGCCCATTTTTAAATTGCAGTATTTGTCTTTTTATTGTTGAGCTGTAAGAATCCATTTTTTTTTTCTGAATACTAGGCCCTTATCAAATGCTTGATTTGCAAATATTTTCTCCCATTCTGTGAGTTGTCTTTTGATTTATTTTTTTTTTAAATTTTAATTTTGATGAAGTCCAATTTATCTATTTTTCTTTTGGTACTTAATGCTTTTGGCATTATATTTAAGAAACCATTGCCTAGTTCAAGGTCAAAAAGATGTGCTTTTATTTTTCTTTAAGGGTTTTATAGTTTTAGCTTTTATATTCAGGTCAGTGACCCATTTTGAGTTAATTTTTGTTAAATTTTTTATTAATCTTTCTAAAAATATTTTTAAAGTGTTGTGAAAAATACAGAATAACTTACAATTACAGGGGAGAATTTCTGAGAATTTTGCTTTCTCATTCCTGAATTCTGAAGATTAATACCTGCCAGGAATTTGGGGACACTAGCTTGTGCAGTTTTCTCTGCATGGTAGTAAAGGCCCTTAGGTAGTTTATTTTTTGAACAGATGGTGGCAGCAGAGCTTTAATGAATGTAAATTCTCATTTTTTCCCTAAACCTAGTATTTTATAATTAAGAATCCTCTGTGTATTTGGACTGCCTTGTTTTTGGTAATAGGTTGTTAAGCACTAAGTTTAAAGTTTCTTTTAAGATTCTTTAAGAATTGTCTAGAACTTAAGAATTTTAGAGGTTTGTTTTTGTTTGTTTTGGTTTGATTTTTCACCATGAGTTTATTCAGGCTTCTGTTTGTGACTCTAGTTTGTGGAGTATGGACATGATTTACTTGAGGTCTTTAACCTGTAGGCACAGTTTTTTTCAAATTGCTCTCATGTGTTTTACCCACTTTTTCATTATCTATTACTACCTCATGATCTTCATAGAGAGATAATAGAGTAATAGCTAACATGTTTGTTAGTGTTAAAGCTATTCTCAAGCTTACTGCTGAAACAAGTTGGCAGATTTACATTCTGATTTTGAGGCTAGATAATATAGAAGTTGGACACATGAGTTTTTTCTTCAATAATAAAAATTATTTTATATAATCTTGTGATTGGACCTCATATGTCTTTTTTAGATCCAAATGTTAAACAGTAAAATTATGTGATGTCAGTATTCCTTGACAATTGCTTTCAAGACAGTAATAGAAATAACAAACATTTATTGAGCACTTAGTGTTTACTAGGCACTATGCTAAATGTCTTGTGTGCATTGTCTTTTACGATAGTTCTCAGAGGTAAGTACTATTTTTGCCCAGAGTTTCTAGAAGAGGGGGGCTTAGAAAAGTTAAATCATTTTCCTGAGATCATATTCGTAGATGAAGAGTGTGTGTGTGTGTGTGTGTGTGTGTGTGTGTGTTTATAAGAAATTTTATCACACTTGTGTGTGTGTGTGTTTTACAGTTGATGGTATACTAGATGCATTATTCTGCATCTTGTTTGTTTTTTTTTAATTCAATAGTCTGTTTTGAAGATATATAGCTGTTGCTGCTACATATAAATATTTGGTCAATTTCTTTACTTAATGAGTAGATAATACTTTGTATTTGTTTAACTTAGCTGCTGGAATCTCACCAAATTTTAGCTTTACTTCATGTTTCCACTAGAGGGTGTATAAAATATTTGACTTAATTTTTTTTCTCTTACTAAAGCTATAATAGTAGTGGAGTAATGTATTGTTTCTTGTTATAATGATCAGAAAGAAAAATTTTAATGAATATAACAAGCATAATATTCTCCTTTGTTTTGTTTTATTCTGCAGGTTACTTATTTTTGGATCCTATGACAGAGAGGCAAATGTTCACTGCACACTTGAATTAAGCAGTAGTGTTTGGGAAGAAAAACAAAGGAGTTCTATTAAGACGGTAAAATGGATTTGCAGTGATTTTTATCTGTATAAAGGTCTATTTTATAAGTGTGCTTTTATTACTGTTTCTGTATTCCTAGAGTTATTTTTGGTCATGTGCAAATAGTTATGAACAGTTCTTATTTATTTGTCTTGTTACAATACAACCTCAGTGATAAAGTAAATCACATGAAACTATAGTTAGTATTCATATTACCTGCATAAGAAACCTAGTCCAACTAGTTTTCCTTTTAGAACTTTAAGATTGCTGCAGTTATGAAATTAGAAGGAAATAATTTTAACTAAACACTTTTGAAGATGTGAATTCAGAGTATTCATTATTCATTCATTGGACAGATATTTTATGAGCACTTACTTTGTGCTGGGTACTGTTTTAGATGCGAGATAAACTGTTCAAGACAAAAAAGAAAACCCTGTTCTGTGATACTAACATGGGGTAGAATTGTGATGTGGGGATTAATTAGAAGAGGGAGGAAGTGATCTACAATGGTAAACAAAAAAAGTGAACAAAGCTATTCCCAAAGATTGACAAGTGCCATGAAGGGGTATGACAGAGGAATTTTAAGTTATGATAAAGGACGTTCTTTAGATCTCGTGATCTAAATTATAAGTTATGATAAAGGACATTCTTTAGATCTCGTGACTCTAAAGAGATGACACTGGAGCAGGCTTACCAGAGAAAATAGAGGACACCCAGTTAAATCTGAATTTCAGGTAAACAGTAATTATTTTTAGTAGAAGTATGTTCCCAGTACTACAAAGTAACAGTCAAAATCCTGCTAAATCTTTATTGGACTACTATGTAGTATTTTTATGGAAATTCCTTTGACTTTTTAATTGTTTCTAATTTACTTATGTATTAATTGTTATGAACATCTTTATATAAACATTGGGCAGTATGAAATTATTTTGAGAGAAACAGGGCAATTTGGATCAGAGTGGAGAGGTAGGGGCAAGTAAAACTGGAAATGGAGGATGGTTGGCCCATAGAGTTTGGATTTATGAAAGCAGTGGGGAGCTGTTGAAGATTTTGAGCATGGTAATGACATGGTCAAAATAGAGGTTTCATGAAAAATTTCCCCTTTTTTTGGTGGCTGATCTTGCCCCAACTTTCTTTATGTTAGTATCTCAAACAATTTGAAGCAATTCCTCAGAAGAATGAAATAACTGGCATTAGAATTTATTTTGAAATACATAACTGCATGAAGAAGCATTATTGTTTTTGTCCAGCTAAATTTTTGGCTTTACTTTGAATTGGTCATAACTTGCCACTGCTATTGGCATTTTCAATATCCTTTATTATATTTGCAAAGATATGAGATTAGATGGTTCTAATATTTTATAGCAAAGGTTGGTAAGACATTAATCTTTTCATTATTTTACTTCTTAGCATATGTCATAAGTAGTTTTGAGGAAAGAATTCTAGGTTATTAATTAGATCTGATGTTCAAAATGTCAGCAACAGTGTCTACAGGCGTTAAATTACTTATGTCTGAATTTAATATTCCTAGGGAGGAGAATTAGCATGTTCTTTAAGACAACATAAAACATCAGGGAATAGATTTTGATAATTTGTAATGTATTACAAATATGGGTAGAAAATAGAACATTGTTAAAAAACAATTATGCTAAATTATTTGATGAGTTTAGGATGCTCTCTTTGTATAAATACAATCTCTAGTTTTAAATCATTCTTTATGTTGAAATTTCTTCATTGAAGTTAGTCACTAATTATAATGAACATGCAGAATAAAAGAAGCTTAATTCTTGCCATACTTTAAGTGTGCCTTGAGTTTTTAAAGGAGTATAACACTGTAATTGAAGAACATAGCTTCCTCCTTCATCTTCCTTAGCATGGGTTTTTTGCTCTCATGGTTGCAAGATGTCTAAGACACCCTTAGGAATTTACCTTTGAAGAAAAGGGGTGTGGTCTAAAGCTGGCCAAAAGCACATGTCAGCCATGTCCTTTTTAAAACTTTCCTGGAAGTTCCTCCCAGGGATTTCTACTAATATCTCATTGGCCAGAAGTGAGTCATATGGCTTCCTTAGAAGCAAGGAAGTACAGTATGAGAAGCCATTTTAATTTTTCTGCCTTTGTAGAAGTAGAACGCAAAGGAGAACCAGGAGTTACGACTGACTTTTATGTAGCCAGTCCGCAAGAAAACAACTCAAATCTATTTGGTGACCTTTTCATTTTTTATTTTTTTAGAGACAGGGTTTTGCCCTGTCACCCAGGTTAGAGTGCAGCAGCACAATAATGACTCACTGCAGCCTCCAACTCCTGGGGTCAAGTTATCCTCCCACCTCAACTTCTACCTCTGGAGTAGCTGGGACTGCAGGTGTATGCCATTACACCTTTTTTTTTTAGTAGAGACAGTGTATTGCTGTGTTGCCCAAGCTGATCTTGAGCTCCTGTCCTCAGGCAGTCCTCCCACCCCAGCCTCCCAAAGTTCTGGGTATAAAGGAACTAGTCATAACACCTGGCCATGACTTTTTTTTTAATTGCATTTTAGGTTTTGGGGTACATGTGAAGAACATGCAAGACTGTTGCATAGGTACACACATGGCAGTGTGGTTTGCTGCCTTCCTCCCCATCACCTATATCTGGCATTTCTCCCCATGCTCTCTCTCCCCAACTGCCCGCCCCCGCTGTCCCTCCCCTGTTTCCCCCCTACAAACCACAGTGTGTGATGCTCCCCTCCCTGTATCCATGTGTTCTCATTGTTCAACACCCAGCTATGAGTGAGAACATGCGGTGTTTGATTTTCTGTTCTTGTGTCAGTTTGCTGAGAATGATGGTTTCCAGGTTCATCCATGTCTCTACAAAGGACACGAACTTGTTGCTTTTGATGGCTGTATAGTATTCCATGGTGTATATGTGCCACATTTTCCCTGTCCAGTTTATCATCGATGGGCATTTGGGTTGCTTCCAGGTCTTTGCTATTGTAAACAGTGCTGCAGTGAACATTCGTGTGCATGTGTCCTTATAGTAGAACGATTTATAATCCTTTGGATACATACCCAGTAATGGGATTACTATGTCAAATGGAATTTCTATTTCTCGGTCCTTGAGGAATCGCCACACTGTCTGCCACAATGATTGAACCTGGCCATGACTTTTTAAGGGATTTTTTTTATAAATTGGGATATAAGGGAGAAACTGCAAAGAGCAATTTAGTGAATAGCCTGCATAAAGCCTATTTTAGAAATACATTATTAGAAACCCAAGAAAAGTTTGGAGCAAACACAGAGCAGTGCCCTGCTTAGCTCATACATAAAATAAAAGAGCTCATAGAGTAGATGAGGTGCCTTATGATTGTGTTTGTTTTTTGAAAATAATAAAGATTTATCATGAGAATCCTATAAACCAAGATAGCTGAGATACAAGTAAATTAGATATTAGACTTAAGCAAAAATTAGCGGTGACAGAGTAAATACTAAAAATTTCTTTACCACACCAGAAAAAGACAATCCAATTTGTAATTTATTTCAGTCTATTGCAGTATTCAGGTTTGGTGATCATACTTTGCTTAACTTTCACTAAGAAAGAAATTTAAGGAGTTTTCAGATTTTAAAAAGTTTCAGGCCTTAATATTTTAGTAGTAAACTATAAAAACTATCTATAAATGTCTGTACAATGTGTAGTGCTTGCAAATAAAATTCACGATAAATTAATCTGACATATATTAAGATACATATGAATCACTATTGTGTGCCTTGTTAGCCACACAGACCACATAAATGTCACATTAGCACACATTATTTGAAAGAAAGAGATCCTAAGTTTTACCTTCCCAGAATTTGAGTTTCCTTGCCACTGACCACCCACTTGCTTTACCCCTGGTTCCAGACAGAAGATACATTGTTTTTGTTTTTGTTTTTGAGACAATCTAGCCCTGTCGCCCAGGCTGGCATGCAGTGGTGCAGTCTCGGCTCACTGTAACCTCCACCTCCCAGGTTCAAGCAATTCTCCTGCCTCAGCCTCCCAAGTAGTTGGGACTACAGGAATGCACCACTACACCCGGCTAATTTTTGTATTTTTAGTAGAGGCAGGTTTTCACCATGTTGGCCAGGCTGGTCTCGAACTCCTGGCCTCAGGTGACCCACCCTCAACCTCCCAAAGTGCTGGAATTACAGGCATGAGCCACCACGCCCAGCCTCAGACACAAAATAAATTATTAATAAAAGTTTTGTTCTCTTTCCCTCTCTCTTCCTATTTTAGCTAGTCTGCCTGTGTCCTCTCTATCTACTTTTAATCATCTGTCCACACTGACTCATTTGATTCTTCTCATAGATTGTTCTATTCCAACTCTATTCCTTCAACTTGGAATGTTTGAGGCCATTGGGCAGAAGAGAAGTCACCATGAAAATGGGCTCTGGAACCTCTGAATCTGGGAATTCTGAGGTAAAGGAAAAGGCAGTAGGGGCTACTACAAACACCCACCTATTCTTTCGTTCCAAATAAAAGGATGTAAGGAATTCTGGTTTTAGAAACAAGCTTTTATGTACATTTTCTGATACTAACCTGACTCTCCATCTTCCTTCAACCTACCACACTCTGCCTTCAGATACTTGATAGCAATTGCCTTTCTTAAGAGACCAAGTATTTCGTTCTCTAAGTAGAGACATGAGGTTGAAAACCCAAACAATATTGGTATATAAATGTGTCACTATCAGAAAGGAAGGATGAATATGAATTTTTTTCCTGTTTTGAAATGGAGGGGAAATTCTAAAAGAAGCTTTTGGGTCTCTTAATTTAGAACAGATGGGCAGAAGAGAGAACAATCATTTGTCTGTATAAATAAAAGAGTAGAAGTACTTCATACCTTTTGTACCCCAGTATGCAGGTTCCAGAGGGAACTGTGGTTAAAGGCATTAGGAGATGACATTCTACTTCAAATCTACCTGAAAAGCAAGGAATAATGAATCCCTGAAAAGCACTCAGCTAACAGGGAGAATCCGTAAGTGACATATTGGAGCTCTTAATCAGAACAGTAT